AAGACAATGTTATCTTTATGAAGTTTTATTTTTCAATGGCAGTTGATTGGCTATTTTGAAGTTTAAAATATAGTACTGGAGTACATGAGCTTTATTAGGGAATAAAAATGTTGGTAATTCCAGCATGATTAAAGAAAAATCTTTTAGGAATCATTTCTTGTGAATTGATTCTACTATTCTGAATTATCTCTAACTTTACCAGTTTTAAAAATATATTCCATCATTATCCTGCCCACTGTGTAAAGTAGCTATAATGCAAATGCTAAATATTGCAAGTGTCCATAATGTAATCTGTAAAAAACTGGTGATAATATTAAAATCCATTTTCAGATGCACTAAAGAAATACATAGAGTCATTTGTGAATCATTTATGTGAGAAAATTATTCCTGGGACAATTTAATGTTGGCTCTCTATATTTTATACTGAAGCAGTTGTCATGCTGATAAGAGTCCTCCATCCCTGACAATGGATGCTTCTTCAGTGCTTGAAAAGGTGAATTTTTACTCTGTCATGCAAAAACATTCCCTTTCATCTCATCTATCAAGTTTCATTCAATTCAATGAAAAAGAATTTGCTTCTCTTTTCCCCTCTCTCTCCCTCTAGTATCAGTGAAATTATTATGGCTATAATATGGGGGGAGGGGGTGCACTTGCATGACAGCCAAAGTTTATGTGTGAATGTGTTTAATTCCCAAGAAAGACATAATTTAATCTCCTAATGGACTTTAGTCTGGGCATTCAAGGGAAATGCTAGGGTGATAGGACTATGGGACAAAGCATCTCCACTATTTTGAAAGGAACACTTTTTCTTTTCTACCTAAGATAAGGTGGAAAATGGAAGAAAGAAAATGGGGAAGAAAATGTTTGAGAAATTCCAAAGCAAATTTCAGTTTGGCATTAGTTTTATCATCCTATGTCCTAGGATACAAAAGAAAAATGTCCTGCCTGCTGGAACAACTGAATGATTCTATTTTCTACATTACAGACTTTCAGATCCTATTGGAAAAATTGAATAATTTTATTTTATATGTTACAGACTTTTAGATACTTGAAGATGGCTATCATACTTCTATTTCTCTTCTCTAGGCTAAATATACACAATACCTCTAATGATCCCTCATATTTATTTTTTCTTTCCAGGCCCTAGCATATTGGCTGCTAACTTCTGGATACACTCCAATCCATCTATGTTCTTCCTAAAATATGGTAACAGAAATGGACACAGTAATCTAGTGGTAGCATGACCAACACAGCATAGAAAAGAATTACAGTAGTCCTCCGCCTACAACCACAATTGAGTCCCAAATTTCTGTTGCTGAGACATTTGTTAAGTTTTGCCACATTTTATAACCTTTCTTGCCATAATTGTTAAGTGAATCATTGCAGTTGTTAAGTTAGTAACACGGTTACTAAGTGAATCTGGCTTTCCCCATTGACTTTGTCAGGAAGTCACAAAAGTTAATCATATGACCCCAGGACACTGCAATTATCATAAATATAAGCCAGTTGCTAAGCATCTGAAATTTGATCACCTGACCATGGGGATGCTGCCACGGGGATGTGAAAAATAATCATGTCACTTTTTTCAGTACTGTTGTAACTTTTAACAGTCACTAAACAAACTGTTGTAAGTCGAGGACCACCTGTATTATTTCTCTTGATTTTAAATAGTGTGACATAACCGGGAACAATTAAATAAAAAAGGCAGACAAAACCGTTAAGCAAATTAAAAAAATGTTTTGGCAACAAAGGAAAAGTATTATACAAGGAGCCTCAGTTAGAGGTTGGAGGCTGTGCTGGATAAAATGATAATGAAATGATTTAAGGTGAAACTAAAGCAAGGAAATGCTAGAAGGAATATTTTAGAACTTGTATGGCATTGTAATATGTCAAAGAATGGAAGTTGAAATAATTATTTAAAATCTGAAAGCTACAGGTGCAGATGGTGTAACTGAAGAAATATTAAAATATGATCCTAGAAGTTTTTGAAGTGGCTAAGCTGCTTATAGGATGTAAATGACTGCACCTATGACTGACAATTGAAAGAACACCATTACTATTCCCATTTACAAAGGGAAAGAAGGGGGAATGGAAAAAAAGTACAGAAATAATAGTTCATTATATGCCTGGCAAGGCAGAATTCTGATCAAAACACTTTCAGTAATTACCATTACTCCAAGATCTCTCAGTCATTGTTAGCTCTAATCCCATTAGTTTGGATGAGTAGTTAGGATTTTTGACAAGTGAAAATGGTTGTGCATTGTATGGTTCTGACTATTCTGTAATTTGTGAGAGCTGGGTCAGGAAAAACTTAAAAAGTACATTGAATGGTAAAATAAGAGATAAGAGTTGAATTTAAAGAACAACAGGCAATATATGAAGTGATGTGTGGACATGATAGAACCAAGAATACATTGCAAAGATACAAAAGTGTAGAGAAGCATAGGAAATGATATTAGTGTAAAGTAGACTAAATTCTATTTTTGCCTTTTCTCTTATGCTTTTACATTTGTTTACTCATTCTTCCTTCCTCCTTTTCTGAACTGAACATTATGCAGTTTAATGCTCAGTATAATTTGGCAGGATAGTAGAAGTTTGAATATGTTCATGATAGCTTTGGTACTATAAATTACTGTATATCCATGTCCATGTGTGCATTTATCATTAAGGGCTTTTTAACTCATTTCAAAAAACTTGGGAGTTGTTTTGATGGAAGCAGGTAAGTTGCTTGCTACTTGTGATATGCTGCTAAGATTTTACATTGTTTATGCATGTTTTGCACTTCTTAAGTTTTTCAATAAGTTTTTTTTAATCTGTACCACATGGGACTATGGCTCTAAACATATAAAGAAAGAAATGCCTTTGCTCTGTTTGACAAAGATATACCATATCTATGAAGTACTAGTTAATATTAAACACAAATAGTAATAGTATATGGAGATTGGATGCAAAATAAATGGGTATATGTAACCATAGATCCAGCTTTGTTTTGCATTCCTGATTCCTACTCGCCTAAATGACAAAAATTTCTCTCCTGATCATAATTCCATGTCCAGAGAATGATAAACTTTTATTTTCCCCAAATAACTCAGAGAGTCTCTTACTCAAGCTCTATATTGTTGTGACCGATGGGATGGCACAGATCTCACATTCCTGTTGGTGATTGGAAGTGGCAAAGGAAACATCACTCTTCTTGCTTTTGACTATTTCATCAGGGGAAAGTGCTGATGCCCTAGAATTAATGTGGCATTTGATTTAGGAAGCAACATTTCTAATGATTAAATACAGCTCTGGGATTCAATCAGGTTGAACATTTAGAGGTAAACATTTCAGCCTAATTTTTGTAAAAAATCTAAAATCAATTTCAATGGGAGGCATCTGTCTTTGGTACGAGATAAAATAGACCTTAGCTTTCAAATACAAGTACATGCTCAGTAGAAAATAAAAAATATGAACAAACTGGACAATCATGGTTTAAAATTGTTGTTGTTTTTATAATTTCCCAATAATAAATATTGACTAATGGAATATGTGAAATACATGTTATCACATTGCATGCTGTTGAATTCAAAAATATATATTTGAGTAGTGTAAAAAGAACGATTTGGGCTTCAAATTTTTCAGGGGAAGGCTCTTTATAATTTATTTAAAATGTAAACTTGATACAATTTGATCCTGGATGCTGCGTATGCCTAAACTGGTTATGAAGCTATTCAAACCTGGGTTTCTTACCTCATAGTTTTATCTGAATATGGATCTGAGAATCAATGAATAGGATAGGATAGGATAGGATCTGGAAGGGATATTGGAGGTCTTCTAGTCCAGCTTCCTGCTCAAGCAGGAGAACCTATACCAGGGGTAGGCAACCTTGGCTCTTTTATGTCTCGTGGACTTCAACTCCCAGAATTCCTGAGTCAGTCATGCTGGCTCAGGAATTCTGGGAGTTGAAGTCCACGAGTCATAACAGAACCAAGGTTGCCTACCCCTGACCTATTACCATCTCAGACAAGTGACTGTCCAGTCTTTTCTTTAAAATCTCCGGTGATGGAGCGCCCACGATTTCTGGAGAAAAGCTGTTCCACTGGTTAATTGTCCTCATTGTCAAGAAGTTTCTCCTTAATTGCAGGTTGCTTCTCTCTCTGATCAGTTTCCAACCATTGTTCCTTGTCCTGCCCTCTGGTGCTTTGGTGAATAACGTGACCCCCTCTTCTTGATGGCAGCCCCTTAAATACTGGAATACTGCTATCATGTCTCCTTTATTTCTTCTTTTCTTTAGATAATCTTCCTCTTCCTGCAGTACCTAATGTCGGTGAATGAGATGCTGGATTATTTCTCTTTTCTAATTGCAGGCACCATCTCTCAGCACTGCCTTGCTCTTATGACTGCCTGCCGGTCCCTTTAAAAAAGTGCGGTAGGAGATCCTGCGAAAGAAACCTCAGCTACCGTAGGTGGCAGCATCGAATTGATACCGATATAGAAAGTTAAACGGGGAGTTTCTGATTTGATGCTAAACATCAGAATATATGGTTTTATTATATTTATTTACTTATTGAACATAACCTCACATCTAACGCATAAGACTCCAGGCGGCATAAACAATTAAAACACAAAGCTAAGCAATCTGGAGAATTCAAACACAGCCATTAAAAACCAGTTAAAACCAATTAAAAACTATATTATTATTTACAAACGCACACGCTACATTAGGATCCTATCTACGTGCTAGCAGGCACCAATGGTTGCAAGCGAAGCTCACCCCAAGCAAAACTCTAAAATCATTTTCGATAGGAGGCATCTATCTCTGCGGACAAGATAAAATAAATCTTTAACTTTCAACTAGAAACGCATGTTCTGAACAAACTGTGTTTAAACACAACGGAGCGCGATGCCTTTCCGCAGAAACCCATGACCTTCGTGTTTTCCGATCGGTGTATTTTTTTTTTTTAACCTTGAAGAATTTCGGCCTTCGGGAGCCACCGTCTGTCTTGCTAGTCACGTGACCTCGATCAGCTGATGAATTCGGGAGCTGCCGGAAAGGCTGCGATCGGCAAAATGGAAGGGGCGCTGGAGATTCATTTGGAAGATACGTAAGTGACGCAAAGGACGGCGCTCCTGCTCGCGGGTCGTGGACGACCGGCAGGTTCTCTCTCTCTCTCTCTCTCTCTCTTTTTTTTTTTTAACGAAGGGCAGCCGGCATCTGGTGGGGAGGGGAGGAGGAATGGTTTCTTCTCTGGCTGGTTCAACGCTCATCCGTGCCGTCTCCTTTTTTCCCTTAGTATGAAGAATCCCTCCATTGCGGGAGTCCTCTGCACCGATTCTCAGGGGCTAAATTTGGGCTGTAAGTAGAAACTTTACGGTGGCAGAAGCTCTGCGCATATTCCAAATCCGCTTGTCTTCTCCTTCCTTTGTTTTTCAACGCTTAGCCCCGATGCCATTTCAAATACTGTACCTTCGTCCCTGCGCTTCTCATGTAGCAGGAGTTGTTGCTTTGTTTTGAATTTCGAATCAAGCATTATACAGCGGTGCTTTTTCCCCCAGTATAAACTACTCTTTTGGAAGAGACTTCGTGATATTTAGGTTGTACTAGATCAGTGGTTCTCAACCTTTTTAATGCCGCGACCCCAACCGGTCGTAAGTCGAGGACTAAACTGGTCGTAAGTCGAGGACTAAACCGGTCGTAAGTCGAGGACTAAACCGGTCATAAGTCAAGGACTACCCAACCGGTCGTAAGTCGAGGACTTTCCCTGCCCGGGAGCGCCGTGCATGCGTGGTTCCGCCCCCTGCGCCGGCCGAGGCATAGCTGGCAAGCGGCAGAGACGGAGCAGGCTGACCACCAGCTGGCCCAGCCCAAGGGAGGTAAGGCACCCACCGGAAAAGGGGAAAAAAATGGCGGACAAAAAAAATGGACAAAAAAAATGGCGGACAGCCTTGCTTGGCGACCCCCATGAAATGGTTGATCGACCCCAAATGGGGTCCCGACCCACAGGTTGAGAACCACTGCACTAGATTTTTCTCTTTTTTTTTGCTGGGAGAAGTAAAAGTGAAATAGGGTTGTTACTCGGTTTTCCCATACTTCCCTCCCCCCTTCCCATTTAATTGCTTTTTTAAACTTCTGCCCAAGCAATCCTCCTGGTGGTTGAGTTCTCTCGTTTTCATATGCATCCCTGCTCTCTTTGTCATTTTATTTAGAAATTCTAACAGGGTCCACAAACCTGTCATATGTGGGCCTCTTGCTGTTGCCTCCTTTAAATCCTGCTCCTAATGAAACAGCAAGTGGCGTTTTGTTTTGTGTTTTTAAACTCTGGAAATGCCTATTCAGAATTTTGACATCTTGTTGACATCTTATTCTCTGGCAGCAATGAAGAATCCAAGCTAGAAACTTGGCAGTGGGAGTGATAATCACAGTTTATTAAACCTGTATGCCACTCAACTCTCAAGAACTCCAGGAAGTTCACAACAATCAAAGAAATTACAATAAAATCAATTAAGCATTAAAAATAAAGATAAAAGATGCAATCATGATGCAGTGCGTGGTCTCACTCTCCCTTGCGAAAGGCCTTCGTGGCTCTTCTAAGCAACAGCAGAGTGGTTGCCATCTAGATCTTGGGGAGACCCTTGTGCCAGAAGACAGGCGACAGCTAAGAGAAGGGGCACTTCTGAGATCCCGAAAAATGACATTGTTTAATTCAGGGGTTCCCAACCAGGGGTGCTTACATCCCCTGGGGGTGCGAGAAGATATTCCAGGGGGTGCGAAAACTTGATTTTCAAAATTATAGTGTATATGCATAATTCATTGCCATTATTTCAAACTTTTGTAAGGGGGTGTGAGAATATATCAGAAGCATTCTAGAGGTGCAGGGTATAGAAAAGGTTGGGAGCCGCTGATTTAATCGAAGGAACCCAGAATGTGCCAACCCTGTGTCAGTTGTCCTCTGTCTGCTGAAAACAAACTCCAGGATTGAATTTACCACGAGATATTATGGGAAGCAGGTGGTCCCTGAAATAACCAGGCTCTATGCCATGTAGGACTTCAGAGAAAACAGTTCCTTAAATTGCATTTGGAAGCAAACCAACCAGTGAGATTGTGAAGCAGAAATATTAGATGGGCATACTGAGGCATGTCTGTCACTGCTCTCATGGCTGCATTTTGGATCAGTTCAAGCTTCGGTCTAGTCCTCAAAAGCAGCCTGAGTAGAGCATGTTGCAGTATGAAGTTGTGAGGTAATTAAAGCATGAGTGGCTGTCTTACACCCACCCACCCCCCAATATCTAGGAAAGGGCCTTAGTTTTGTTCCAGTAGTTTGTATTTGCAAAACTACTGACCCACAAGCCAACTGAATTTTAGTCAGCATGTTCTTAGTTTCTGGTTATGCAGATCCAGCAATTGAGTGTATTATATGAATGTTGCTCCCATCATCTGCATATTTGCATCTGTGAACCTCTGGCTGTTTTAACAGCACCCATTATACAACAAGGATGGGGAAAGGTGTATGGCGATCCCAATGTCGAGGTCATGGTTGTCCTAAAGGTGTTTTTGGAGGAAGATGTAGACTCAATTTGCCCATTTGTTAACAGAGAAAATGAAAAGAAGAGTAGCCTTCCACATTCACTGAGAAATGGAAAGAACTCTCTCCATCCAGTGAAAATTGCACTGACTTAATAATTATGCAACCTTTCTAAAGCCAATACTGCTGTAGGTACTTTATTTGTTTAAAGAGGGAATGAATGGGGAAACACCAAAACAATAGTAAATATAGAAATGACAAGGAAGCCACTATTTTTTAATCTACTAAGGCAGAGTTCCCCAAACCTTTCAGCTTTTTGGACCAGTGGGAGGGGGCGAGGGGATGGTTCTATGCGAGAGACGGGTAAGCACACACGCTTGCTCACTGTTCACGCAAGTGGGGATGCGTACACATTCTTGCCCGCCACTTCTGCAGCCCAGTTCCAAATGACTCCAGGCCTGAAGGTGGGCTGCAGCCCAGGTTTGGGGACCCTATACTAAGGGGTACCATTAAAAGATAAACTTGAGGGAATCCTTTTCTCTTCCTAAAGGATAGAGGAAAGCACCAAGGTGCTTAGAGCTTACAAAGGACATCAAGCAAGTCAGAGGCTTTAACCTTCCTCACCTCTGGCTTAGTCGCCAATACTACTGAAATTAGCAACCCCATGTTAGACAAGCCTTTTCACCCCTGTGCTAGACCCAGTCTAGTTAATAATTGTAAAGCTGCAGCAAATAAGTGACATAATAAAAGCCTTGCTTGGTTATATCCAAAAGTCCAACTGTTTCAGGATTTTATTGCCAAAAAGTCAACCAGATCTTTGAAAATTTATCTAGCTGTGTCAGCCTTCAATGCACTTTGACTTTGCAACTAGTAATTGGACATATTGTCAGAAATCCAGACAATTCCTGCAATTTGCAGTTAATTATTTGGGGAGAATGTTTACAGTATTCTTTACAGCTAAATGCAGAACATTTTTCTTTTGAATAATGCACAGTTATCTTTTAGGTCGTGGCACCCTCTCAGATGAGCATGCAGGTGTAATATCTGTTTTGGCCCAGCAGGCAGCAAAATTAACTTCTGATCCAACAGATATTCCTGTTGTATGTCTTGAATCAGACACTGGGTAAGCATAATTAATACAGTTTTAAAGACCAATTTATGATTCCATAAATGTTGGTGGATCCCAGTTCATTACTGTGTGCAGTGTAATTCCCAAAAAGAACGTGGGTTGTTCATTTGATTCTGTGGTTTTCCTTTGTTGTGTTAAATGACTTAACAGACCTCACTGCATCATTGCCTTTTTGAGTAAAGATGTCAAAAAAAAAGTTAAAACTTTTCCCCCTTCTTTTGGTTCTAGAAATTTGCATATATAACATACCTATACCTGTGCCTTTTCCCTATTAGGGAGAACCCATTTACTGTTTTTGCCTCCAAACACTGGAGTGTTCTTGTCAATTTTTGTAAAAAAATTCTTGGCAATTATTTTTGGAAATGGTTTGCAATTGCCTGATTCCTGATTCTTAGGGCTGAGAAACAGTAACTGGCCCAGTCACCCAACTGGCTTTATGCCTAAGGTGGTACTAGAACTCAGTCTGCTGGTTTCTAGCCTGATGTCTTAACCACCATACCAAACTGGCTCTTTTAACCTTGGATTTGAAGCCTTAATTCATTTTTATTACCCCCATGAACCTATATTTTGGAGTTGTTGGGGATAATCCTGGGTTTGCCATTGGGTATGGAATTCCAGTGGAAACATGGAGTCCATTAAATGACTGGTATAAATTTGATTGCATTCTTCCATGTTTTATTGTTCGTATAGTGTTTTAACTGTTTAAATGTATAATTTGTATTCATTGTGTAATTTTTGTTTTGTATACTCTGCCCAAAGTAATATGCAAGTGAGATGGGTGGCTATATAAATTCAATAAATAAAATACTTGGTTCAACCAGTTATGTAACTATAGGAATTATAAAATCATCAATAGCCCCAATCTGCACTATTTTCATTAATATTTTGGGTTTGTTTACAATATTAAAAAAGTCTATAAAATATTTATTTATTGTTTGGTGTGTGTTTTTTCCAGCAATATCATGATCCAGAAGCATGATGGCATCATAGTGGCAGTACATAAAATGGCATCTTAATCTTGAACATTCACAGTATTCATTGCTCTTCAAGAAATCACTTTTGTGGAACTGTCTTCTGCCAGTTAATACAAATAGGATATCCAAGCTCATGAAGCCAGAACCTAATTGAATCTGTCAATATCTTCACTTGCCTACCTTGGTACAGAGTGTATCTGCAGAACTTCCATTGTTTCATCTTTTGAGTAATGAAGCACTTTTTTATTGCTGGAGAGACAGCAGCTTAACAGATGGCCCCAATGTTAGAGGAACTGAAAAATGTGTTGAGGACAAGTAATGCATTCTATCTTGACTAAATATTGTGTATCTACTTTGATGTAGCAGAAGAATCTGTTAAGAAAATCGTCTTCCTTAGCCCATTGAAACTACAAATATATTTCATCTCAAGCTTGGCTCTTGGTGACTTACGTGGCTAAATTTATGTAGCTTTGTTGCCAACAAATGCAAGAGGTTGGCCATTGCCGCCTTATCTGATATACTTTTCAGTTTTTCACTCTATAGCTTTGGATTTCCTATCTCAGTTCAAATACTAATCAGGACCAATTCGAGATAACTTTCTAGATCAGTCAAGGATGGTCAAGTATTGCCATCTTGCCCAAAAACAAAAAAGCAAAAAAAAAGTATTGCCACCTTGCATATTGGCAGATATTTAAAGGAGTTTGATAATAACAGCAATGTGGTTTTTGCACTGCTCTTTTCTAAAGAGTAACCTAGAAAATAAATGTGAACAACTTCTTGTCTAATCAGCTATTACCTAATGTCATGGTCTTTATTGTGATTGTTTTATGTGCTGGCTACTAAAAACGCCAACAGGATCAGTACTAAGCATGGATGTTTCTTGCCCTAAATTTTAAGTTGTAAATTTGCATGCTTATACTTAGAGAACAGTTCATCAGTGTTAAACCCAAGGGATGCAATTCAATAAAGTTTTGGGGCTGGTTCTAGTTCTGTTTGAATAAAAACAAATGGCAAGAAAATAGAGCAAGGGAATCATATGGTATAGGGCAGGGGTAGGCAACCTTGGCTCTTTTATGACTCGTGGACTTCGAATTCCTGAGCCAGCATGGCTGGCTCAGGAATTCTGGGAGTTGAAGTCTACGAGTCATAAAAGAGCCAAGGTTGCCTATCCCTGGCATAGGGGTTATTTTTTAATACAACTTTACTAATATTTTCTATCCAAGTAAAAACCACATAAATCCTTTCAGTTACTCTTAAAATTCTGGTGCTCCAAAATTAAAATACTTAGCAAGAGATTGAAATAAATCTGGTGCCCTTAGTTTTCTGCCAAAACAGTAATTATTTGGCATTGTGAGAGTCCAGCCAAAGGAAATACATTTTTTTTTAAAAAATGGAAATAGAAACTGGTGGCAAAGGATTATTAGAGCCAGAAACAGTCAATTATGTTATGTTTTTACAACATGCTACTTAAGGTACTGAACCGTGATTGAAATCTGCTTTGCTGGCTAGATTGGCATTAACACCCTGAGCCATAAATTAGCCAACCACATCTTCATATGTTCAGCAAATTCAGCTACTTGGTAAATACACATCACTAGGATGGGTAAAATGTATACAGAAGAAAGGCTGGAAAGCTTAACAAATTTACTGTATAAGCTGCAGAACAGGTTTTGCTGCCATCATACTACTGAATTAGCAGTTCATAAAAAAATATATATACTACCTAGGTCAGACATGTCAAACTCGCGACGTCACATGATGTCGCACAATGTATTGGGACGGTTTTGCCATTGCCGGCAATGGGGTGGATGTGGCTTCCCGATGATATGTCCGGCCCATGGGCCGGCAGTTTGACAGCCCTGACCTAGGTGGATGACTCATAGCTCAAGATTGAATTGTGTGGAGTCCTTGTTTTCTGAGTTTGGTTATTTGCTTGCAAATATTTTAATATATCCAGTACTAGATAACAGCATCAGAGCACTAAGGCCTCCACAGACATTCAGAAGAGTCTGCATTCTCTTGAATATAGGCAGAACTCTGCAGAATCCAATATAAACAATGTCCCTTCAGACTCCTTCCCCAATGTATACAGGGGAAAGCTTACAGGACTTTATTAGATTCTGAAATATTCTGTTGCTCCCTTCCTTTCAACTTTAAATTGTAATGGTAAATGATAGTACAATCATCCAAGATTGTGGGCAAAACAGGCAAGATTTTGTTTTTTGGAGTATGAGACTGACACCGACAACATGGATGACTACAGATGTAGTTAGCTCTGTATAGAATGCTAGTCAGAGATATGATTGCCTGAGTTGGGGTACTAGACATTCTTCCATAGAGAAAGAAAACATCTGGATGAGTATTGTGTCCTTTGGACATTTAGCTGAAGCTGCCTGTTCCTTGCTGCAATGCACACATTGGTGTTGCAGTTAAAGGGCTTCATTAGCTTGCAATTAGTTTCTGCAGAAAGGAGAAAATAATTCAAAATTATTTATACAATTACTATTTATACGATTTACCACAGCAGTAAACTACTGTTTACAGCATAGTACTACTATCTTGAAGTGTGCATTGACACCAAGAATAAAATATCATCTAACCAAGCCTTGGCTCTGCTGCAATATGACATCTACACTGTAGAAGAACATCGTAAATCCAAATCACCAGAGGTTTTTTATGTATTAAAAGAAGGAAAGTTAAATTAAAGTCTGAACTGATGGTTTTGTGTCATTTCCAAAACTACTTTATATCAGCAAGAAAAGTAAAAAGTCACAACTTCTCTAGATATGTAATCCCTTAGCTCGGGAATTCTGGGAGTTGAAGTTATCAAATTTGAAAAACACTAGGTTAGTCTAATTGGCTTTCAAGCAATTATTTTTAAAGGGCTGTAGCTGATAATAACCATCTCTTAGGACACTGAAGCCTTAGCTTGTGGAAATAGCTTTTGATTATTCAAATGTAAAACAGCAGAGTATTATTATTTTAAAGTCTATTAAAACCATGAAATAAAAGAAAGTACAATATCATGGCCTGGAGTGGTCATTTCATTTTCACCATTTTCTCAAAAACAAGTGATTTTTTAATCTAACCAATTGGCAGTCAACCTGAAACATATCTTTCTTTGAAGCTGAATTAAAAGGGCAGGACATTATTGAAAAGGGGAAGCTGATTTAAATTGCTGGAGTTACAACCATATTTACAGTTTTAAGTTATGATCTACAAAATTGTTTTACTGACTATACTTTGGTGGGGTAGATTTGTATGTTTAACAACAAAAATGAATACAAATAACGTGTAACACAACTGAAGCCTTTTGATGGGACAGGACTCTTTAACAAAGAAATGTACTAGGAAGCCCTGTTCATCTTGTATCAAATATAAGCTCATCCATTAGTAACAGTTTTGAATATTTGCACAAGTTAACTTTTAAAGCAGTTCCCTTTAATTTTTTTAATGTATAAATGTACTTACTAGGAAGTTAAACAATGCATAATTGCTGGTTAGAAAAATGGATGAAACTATGTTTGTTTTTTTTAAAAATAAAAACCTTCACTTTAATTGCACTGTTGCTAGGGGAAAGATTACACTCCTCTCTCTCTGTCCCTTGCTGACCAAAACCGTTACAAGTGAGCTGGCAAACTAAGCTGAACTGAATGGTGTGCCTAAGAGAAAAGAGAAGAGAGGGAATAAAGAGGAAGCAGCAACAGGTCGTGCAAACATTAACAAACCACAAAAGAAACAACTTTGGGCTATTTTTATCAGATCCCGGTCTGCTTGTCAGGACCCCCATCTTTAAAAATCCAGAGGCTATAGAACAACTTTTTATTGCGTGGCAAGCCTACATTAAAGCCCTGTCTTTGTTTACTTAAAAGCACTGGGTGGGGCCATCAAGCTACAGTAGCACCAATCTTCGCTAACAGAAAGGAGGAAAAAATTTAAAAAAGATAGCAATTAAAGTTCCATCTTGGTCAGCCTTTAAAACATGTGGTTAATGGTTAAATTGAAAGCCTGCAGCACATATTAAAGCAATTGTGCTGGCATGTTTTGAGAGACAGACTGTGCTGGCTATTACATTTCTGATGATGCCAATGGCAGCAACTGCCTGGAGTTCAGAAAAGGATGGAGAATCTGTTGAAAATAAAAACAATGAAGGTCCCGATAGCACAGCAGTTCCTGATGGAGGGTGGGGCTGGCTGATCGTTGTCAACTTTTTTCTAGTAAGTAAGAAGCAGATAAAGTTACCGGTACTATGTAGTGTGTGGTTTGGTGTTGCTTAAAAGTCACGACAGATACAAAAGGCACTTGATTTTATCATGCGTGTAGAAATTTAAAAATACTGCAGAAAAAAAGAGATTTTTCTCAGATGGCCTGCAACATGTTCTGGCCAAAACCTAAAACTATATAAAGAACTTCAGGAATGGGTAAGAATTGTTGGCACTTTGGTAAGAACTTATCAAACATTTGCAGCTTTCTTAACAAAATGGAAAACATCAAAGAATACAAATTGTAGTACGAGAGCCATACAGTAGCATCTTTCTAAGGCTGGTTTCTTTAGAGTTAGTACTATGAATTTAATTGCAGAACTATTAGCTGGAATCATATGCTGTGCTTAGCTATATTTTTGTTTGGTTTTAGCATTTAGCCAGACATTTTGGCTTATGGAATGAACTATGATTGTCTCTAGTAATAAGTAGTTTGTGTTACTTTGAAGGACATAGTAAGCATGGTATACAGTATATAAAAGTTACAATTGTGATGAAGGTGGTTTACCAATTAGGTATACTGCTCCAGATCATGCTGAAAGTAACATCTGGAAAATTGGTGGTTTTCTATTCCTACTCTAGAAAAATTGACATCTGGCTAACTCTGACACAAGTTTGCTTTTGGTTGTGTGTTACAGTTCCCTACAGAAAAGGGAAATAGCACAGTCCCATATAGCGTGAATTACAGTAAACAAGATGACAAGGGTGCGAGCAACTGTCCTCAGTGCATCCTTGCAGGTAGGGCTACAGTTAGCAGTTCAACCAGAGCTGAGCAAATCCCCTCCAAGTCATGGCTGATATCTACTATTTTACCAGGAACTCTAAACTAGGAGAACCCCAATATTATGACTCTGTTTTCCCTGAAGGAGCACAACTTCAAGGGTCAAAGATGGTATAATCCTGACATCACTAGGCTTCTGAGTGAACAGCCACTCACCCTTGCTTGCACTGGATCAGGACATCTCCCATTTGGCCCAAGGAGGAGATATACAATTAGGTATTATCAATATACCTAATACCTCCTCTCTCACTTTGAACTACATGATGACCTTTCCCGGACACTTTATGTAAACAGAACAGGGGAGAGGATACCCTTGTGTCTGTGATCTGTGGCACATCCTTTCCTCCATTGTCACTACCAACCAGATTCATCCAATTGCAAAGGAATAGAGCTATCCTAAAAGAATGCCAAATCCAAGCTTTCATGGGGGATTCAAAAGGATACTAGGATCCACAGCACTGAGGGCTGCTGATGGGCTTTGTCAAAAAGCCCAAATATTTTGTGTGATATATCAGAGAAACAGGAGAAAAGCAGAAAGCTGTGTAAGTGTGAGAGAGAAAAACGTGGGGAAGGGCAGAGAAATGTATGCAGCAAAACTGAATGCAAAGGGAGAAGGGTATTATATCACTCTCCCCACCCATCCAATGGCATTTTTGACACAAATGGATTGATTAACAAGCTTATCCAAATGCCAAAAATAAATAGTTCTATTTAACTCAGAATAGTTTCTAAAAAGAATAGACATGACCACTGCACAGCCTGCACTCTGTGTCACTATAATGTAGTTTTTTGCAGCAAGGGAAATGTTGCTCTTTAGAATTTTATTAGCACAGAACTGCTAATCAATGCCAAGAAAAGCCTAGGCTGTATAGGTTTGTTGAGTTAATTGAGTTGGAGACTGATTTTATTGTAAAGTGAAAAGCCAAAAAAACCTCATCACAGTGCTTTCTTTCATCACAATCACGTTTCTAAGGATATTTTTTTAATGGCCAAACTTATCCTATGGTGACAATAGAATGGCTAGAGCCAAGCCCTGCCATTGTCAGCCCAGTGACTAAGTCACATCCCTTTCTCTTTTTAGAAATGAGATTGAAAATGTTCTGCCCTATTGTGGCCCCAGCACCAGCACCAGTGACACTGGGTCAGTTCCATAGCAAGCTAAATACTCATCCCATCTCATTTGCTATCTGCCATGCCTGGAAAAAGAAACTGAGGCACAAGAGAATAGGCATTATTTGAATGTGTGCAGGCAGGATGTAGACAGAAGTGATTCAGTTGACACTATTATTTGAACTTTCAAACAGCTTCTGAAAAAAACTGCCACCAAAGAATTTCGAATAAGCTTGATTCTTGTGAATTAAGGGAATACACATTCAAGGATATTAACTGGCTAAAGGACGGGGTGGGGGGAAAGGTGGGAATGTATGGATGCAAAGATATTACTTTTAAAAATCAGAAGGCCCTCCTAGTAATGGATTTGTGTAGCTGAATTGGAGCCAATGTCTGCAATGTCTGTGTAGAAGCATAAAGGACAGAAAGCAAGAAAAAGCATTTCAGAAATGAAAATGAGTTTAAAACAAAGGTTCAAGGAGTTCCTGGCTTACACAACTTGGTTTGTGCAATTCCAATGGCAGACCAAAATTATGACTACCGTTTTCATATAGTTGTGCAGATTTCATGTGCAAAAATTGGTTTATATAATTGCTTCTCCAACAGAGCCCTGGCATAAAGCAGGAATTGCTCATACAGGTAGTCCTTGTTTAGTGACAGTTGGGACAGTCTACTTGGTCACTAGGTGAAATTGCTACGTGCTTATATTTATTTCACATTTCCTTTGCTTTACAGACTTGGGAAGGTTGTAAATGTGAGGATTGATTCCAAAGTTATTTTTTCATCACCATCACAACTGCAAACAATTGTTAAACAAGAACTTCTTATAGTTAATGTTTATAATGTGTATCCAATGCTTCTTCCAGATATATTTTTCCTTTTTAGCTTAAGTTCTGAGGGCATTCCATTTTTGAAAACATAGCTTTAATTTCTCATCGTATCTGAATTCATCTCTTCTGGTCATCTTGGCCAAACCTGGATTGCTCAGCTTGATCTTTATCACAAATTTGTATGAAAACTTTGCAGTTTCTTCTCTTCCTCTGTTCACCATCACAAAATTCTGTGATTTTATTTAGGCTGACAGGTCATAGTTCAGCCAAGGTAATCCAAAACATAAAATTACCATTTTTTTAGCAGACCCAACAGATTTCGTAAAGGTCATTCATTCCTCTTCCCTTAATTTTTTTTCTTCTCAGACACTAGCTGGACTTTGGGGCTCTGCTGAGTCTGCTAGTGTGGTGCCTAGTTTCATCCTCTGATCATTTAAACACAACACTACAGTTTTGCAATGGAGTGGCAATTAATAGTCCATTTTACATTTCAATTAATACGATACTGATAACTTTTGTAGGTAAATGTATTTGTAATCGGAACACTGAAAAACTTTGCCATTTTCTTTGTGGCTGTCCAAGAAGATATTGGTGGCTCTTCTGAACATGTCAGCTGGATTGGGTCCATTATGTCCTCACTTCGATTCCTAGCAGGTTAGTACAATCTATGGGTTTAATTGCATGCTTAAACGTATTTGGCTGGACTGGGCTGAGATTAGATCAGTATAAGGCCAGTTCATGATTGTTGTCCAATTTGTGAATTTTTGCCCCCAGAGCTGGGGGAAGGTGGTACTCTTACTCAGAATGCCAAATGTGCTTGCAAAGATACCCACCTATCCCCAAATCACCTATCTATACCTGTGAGTTAAAACTATTTCCCCTTCTGTTTTTAATCATTTGCCAATCTTGTTTACTGATCATAACTCACACATTATAGTTCTCATGTGTAGTTTTCATAAATCAAGGTCTTTATGAAAACCAATGTAACTTTAATAAACAAAAATAGGAAGCTTGGTAATACCTTAAAGCTTAAATATTTTCCACTCAGTGTTTTCCCATCCCAGAAGTAGTATCTATTTATCAAGCTATCATTAATGGCAATTTCCATCTGCTCTGTTCCAGCACCTCTAGTAACTACAGTGTGTGAACTACTAGGAGAACGGAAAACTTCCTTGTTAGGGGCTCTCCTGGTTGGTGCTGGTTTTCTTATTAGCACACTGGCCACAAGCATTCCTTTTCTTTGGGTCTCTATGGGATTCCTAACAGGTAAGCGTACCATTTCAAGTATATTTAATAAGCCCTCATACACACAGAAACTTTCCAGAAATTGAAATTATACATGAAGTTAATTTGTATCACCTGCTCATTGTCAAAGGTTGGATTTTCTGGGCATTTTCATAAAGCTATTCCCTAACAAAGAGAACTATAATCTGTTTGGACTGGCAATACTGCAGAACAGAATAGGAAACAAGCTCAATGCAATACAAAAAAAATAACCCCTCATTTTAGTGGACTGTTAAGTGGGAAGAGGAATCCATTAAATGGTGAATGAGATATTTCCAGCCCCAAAATACACTTGGCTTTATACTTCAGGAAAGACAAGAGAAAGGAAGCAATGCCAGATGCTAATGCTAGCTGGCTATGTTGACTATTCATATTATCCTTAATCTTGTTTCTGTCTGAATTTTGGACAATAACAGGATCCAAAAGATTTTGTGCATTAAATCCAAGCTACAAACTTGAGGCTGTTAAATGGAATGCTACTACAACTAACTATCTTAAGTTGATGTTCTGTCCTTAAGCAATTAGAGAATACTTAAAACCATGGTGTTTAGTTCGTTCCTTATTGCATCATCTTTTGAGGGGCATGAATAATTGCTTACCTGAGGCAAGGCGTATTTCTTTACATTGTTCTTAAAACTTTAAGAGTTTTTGATTAAACTGAATGCTTGTATTGGAGACAGGTACAAAGATAAAATACCACAAAAGCTTTTCTTATATTGCTATTGTTAGAAATATATTCTTACCTTTATATCACTTCATATTAAGAAGCTGGTCAGATATTGAACCACATTGCAATATTATATACAGTATGATGGCATGGTGCTGCTTCTGATGAGGCAATGGTTATCCAGGGTTTTAAGGTTTCCATGTCTGTTATATGTATTTTATTCTAAAGATTAAGTCTTTGACAGTAGTCAAAGTCCTGAAGTAGTACACATTTAAGGACCATAACTGATACCTTACTACGTATCAGTTATGGTCCTTAAATGTGTACTACTTCAGGAACTGAGTTACTCCTTTGTAAAGTGACATCATTTCAAATTAAGGATTACTGCATTCAAAATAAATTTACCAAATCTCAGACTAGAGATCTGTTTGTGACTATTAGTAAGGATTTCTAGAATGCATCACTATCAGTCAACAATCCAATTTTTCCCCTTTTATTTCCAACAGCATTGTTTGAAGTAATTATTAATCTTGTTATGGGAAAAAAATTAAAGACTAAAATACAATTGCTTCAAAGTTAAGAACCGTCCATCTGGAAGCTTTGTGTATTTGGACGATTCACTATTTGTACTTATGAAAGGCTTTAATTAAATGAAATAAAAAACACATTCCTACAGAAGATTCTGCCCCTGCTCATGATGTTTTCTTTCTTTAGGGCTGGGTTTTTGTCTGTTATATCAGATAGCTGCTGTCATGGTAATTAAGTACTTCAGGAGATACCTGGCTCTAGCCAATGCAATTGGCCGCTCAGGAATGGGGCTGAGTGTTGTGCTAACACCACTTGTTCAATTCCTTATAGAAATGTACAGTTGGCAAGGTTAGTCATCTTCATTCCTTACATATTCACACTGTTAATATGTGAAAGTTGTTGTTGTTAGTTGCGAAGTCGTGTCCGACCCATTGTGACCCCATGGACAATGTTCCTCCAGGCCTTCCTGTCCTCTACCATCTTCTGGAGTCCATTTAAGCTCACATTGACATTAAACTTAACATTACAGTCAAATAATAACTGAATTCTCATTCTCTTTCAGTCATTCAATTTCTTCTCAGTGATATAAATGAAATGAGAAATCTACTTTAAGCCTACCTTAGTTTCCATACAAAAGGAAATATGCATTGTGCTTTAGATTTTCTATTTTAATTGCTCTGATTTTTTGAAAGGACAATTTTAGAAAGAGTTACAGAAACTGAGTTATTGCTATTCGTGTATCACCTCAGACACATGGGAAATAAATACTATCAAAATATCATTTTAGAGATTAAAACAAAGGTTCATTTTAAATAGCTAGAAAACATTTTTTTTAAATTTTCTTTTAAATTTCACTTAGTATAAATATAAAGGTTAATACTGGCTTAGGGCATTCATCAGTGATTAGGGAGGGACATCTCGGAATGATGGACAATCTGAGGATTGTCAAATGCATTATTATTATTGTTATTCACTTAAAGTGATATTTATCATATCTAATACTAATGGCGTTCATTTTTGTCTCTTTCGGCAAGAATAAAAGCTTTGACATAATTTCAAGCAATGCTGGAAGTAGATTCTATACAGCACGGGGAATAAGGAAATTGTGGAATACTGCTTGAAAAATTACCAAAATAAATAGCCCTGAAAAGTGGAAGGAATATTTATCCATATGCTAATTAGTTCTACGACTGTAATGATTTTTAGAAAATGATTTTTAAAAATATTATCTTTTCCCATTCATTCAGGTTTCTTATTGATATATGGCGGCATTGTGTTGAACCTTGTCCCTTCTAGCCTGCTACTACGGCCAGTTTATAAGAAAAAAACCAGAGGCATCGGTCCTAAAAGTGAAGGTCAAATAGTTGCACTAAGTATGCTTCCAGAGACTTTCAAAAGCAGCCTAGATAAAATCTGCACCAGAGAATTGAACATACTGGATCCTCCCAATCAAGAATGTGCTAAATTACACAACCTACAACAGCCTGATAACTTAGCCCCAATTAATTACAAGCTTTCTGAAATGTCACATAAAAATAGTTGTGTGGACACCTACAAGAATGATAACCAAACTGGTGATCAAAGTTGCATCCAATCAAATGAGAAAGGAAAATCCAGGGTACAGCATTTTATCCAGAAGCAATGCCATCTTATTGTTTCTCACTTGAAAAATCCCTTCTTTTTTATTTTCACATGGTCTTTTCTCTTTAGTCAACTTGCCTATTTTATCCCAACTTTCCATCTTGCAGCCAGAGCCAAAACATTGGGTATTGACCCAATGGATACTGCTTACATCATATTAGTAGCTGGTAAGAAAAATCTCGAACTTTTAAAATGTTTCTTGTAAAATGTCACCATTAGCAATCACTGATATTAATTATGTAATCACTAATTACATATAGAGCACATCAAAATGTATAATTGTTTATGGCTTAAAAGTCAACACAAAAGAAATCAAGGCATGTGTGTTGATTCAAATTCAAAACTTTAACTCCATTATCAGATGAATGCTGCAGTGAAGGAGAAATTACAACGTAACATTGGAAAAAATATTTTAATATATAGCTTTACGAAATATGGTTATGCTGTAACTATTAAGACCTTTTTCTCAAAGACGTGTTTCTATAATTATGTATAGTTTTGGAAAACCATTTTAACAACAAAATAAGTTCTTAAATTTTATTAGCATTAAAAAAAATCACCTCAGTACAAAACTGCTTTCATCTTTATTACATATTATTCTTAGGAGATAAACCAATAGTTAAAGCAACTTTATTAGTTATTCATTTTCAATTTAAAACAACCCTTTCAATTTTGCTTGGAAACACTGATGCAGAATAGGGGTTAAGAAACCGAGGTGTCAGAGCCAAATCTATTTTACACCTGCTGATGGATACTCTTGAGGCGAAACCAAGCAGCTTATGTAGCATGGGAACTTACCAATTTGGCGGATGAGGAAAGTAAGAGTTATTACTCCAGATTCTAAACTCCAATTTCATTTAACAAAACATTTTGCCACAAAATTACTGACCAGAGCTTGTGAATAAGCATGCAGTTTAAACATAAAAGAAAATGTTCAGAATTCTCAGATATGAATGTATCAGATAGAAACAAAACTTCAGCTGTATACGCCTAACAAAAATATAGCAAAAATGTAGTGTTCATATAATTCAGTGTACTGGGCTTTAGCCAATCTAATGTGGAGCTGAAGGAAAAAAAAGGAAAAAAACAGTCTTCTAATTGTGAAAAGCTGTTCACTATAGCATCCAAGAATTTTTCATACAATGTACTGGGCAATTTTTGAGACATGAGGGAGAATGAGGGTCACCAGGAATTTGATATTGGATCTTGATAATGATAGAACTGAAAATATGAATGGATGGAAGACTTACCACTCAGATAAGAAATCTGACAGAGACCACAGCCAAGCAGTGTGAGCATCTAACAGCAAGTCTAAAATTAGTACAGAAAAGGACATTCTAAATTGCCAGAGTGATTATTTTTATTTTTCCAGTTTTGCAGGTTATTTTTTGCTTCATGTGAATTAGAACAATCTGGTTACCCTAAGACTTGGAATGACAGTTTATAAACCACTTCATAAATATTTACTATATGGCTCCTTGTGGTGTTTTGCAGCATGATTTTTTCCTGTTTATTGTTTTAATTAAAATAATACAAAATAAAATTAGATAGTACAAAAATCTGATACTAGGACATAGATATTATTGCTAGGTATATTTATGTCCACAGGTGCTATATTGGTGACTTAGGTGACTTTAGAAATTTACAAAATGCCGGTTCCTTCCTTTTGATCCTTATTTAGCACCCAAAGAACTTCTATTTCAGAAATCATTATGTGTTTTTGTTCTGTTTTCTTTTAGGGATAGTAGAGACAGTCAGTTTACTGGTCTCTGGCTGGATTGCTCATCAAAACTGGACCAAGACATATAATTACCATAAAACATACCTCATTCTTTGTGGGGTCACTAATCTGCTGTGTCCACTGGCTACAACCTTCCCATTACTTATGAGTTACTCTGTAATTTTTGCCATTTTCAGTGGTGGATATCTTGCACTGCTGTTTCTTGTACTGGTAAGTGGGAAAAAGTAATTGAACAATGAAAATATTAGAACAGTAGCACTTTACATTTCCAAATGATGAAATCTGCTTCAATTCAGACAATGCTAGAGAACTGGAGAATTGCATGTTTCAGGTACAGTCAGAAAGATGAATTTAGAGAAAGAACTGCACAGAAACACTGAAAATACATTTTACCAATCCTAAGTTATTATCAGTTAAGCACTGATCTGCACTTTCTTGGGGTTTTTTTCCTTGAAAACATTTTGCTTCTCATGTAAGAAGCTTCTTCAGTTTTAAGTCAGAACTGAAGAAGTTTCTTGGATGAGAAGTGAAACATTTTCAAGGGAAAAAATCCCAAGAAAGTTGCCTTTAGGAAAAGCACCTTTGGGACAACCATGACCTGGATGATTGAGGATCTCCATAAACACTGATCTTAAGACCAATATTTTTATTAGGTTACTGCTACTTTAAGAGCCAGTTTGATGGAAGGGTTAAGGTATTGGGCTAAAAAGCAGGAGACTGTGAGTTTTAGTCCTGCTGGGAACCAGTCTGCCTAAGATGGTAATGGCAAGTCACTTCTGAAATCTTGCCAAGAAAACTGCAGGCACTAGTTCAGATAGTTGCCAAGAATTAACACTGACTCAAAAAAAAATGCTGTTTTTAAAATAACGTATTTACTACTAGGTTTTAAAAGAAAAAGCAGCTCCAGACTGAAGACATGCTGTTTCTATTTCTTCAAACTAATTATTCATTTATCAGATTTGCATCCTCCTAACCTGCGTTTCCTGGATTGTAATCCTCTTCAACCCATTCACAGCATCTCATATCAGTGTACTGAAACCAAAAACAATGCTAATTTCCAATAAATACTTCATACAGACTAATTAATGAGAAATATTTATGGAAAGCTAAACCCCCTAAAATATATTTGGACTTAACCTCCTTGGTCTTCAACACTTGGCCTTTTGAGTTCAGTTTGCATTCAATATATACTTTGTACTATGTAGAATTGAAACCTGTATTAACAATATCACCAGGATGCTTTGGCAGCCTCCAGGGCATCTGAAATTTTAGCTTCTTTAAGAGATGCTGTTCATAACCTGAAACCAACAGTTCACTTTTATACAGTATTAAAATGTGTATGTATGAATGTTTAATAAGGGATAGACTTTTTTTTTGTATAACATGCTTCAACTTGGTTTTACCTCTAGTCAATTGATCAATATTGATCAATACTGGAAGTCTAGGAAACAAAATCTGTAAGAGTGGATTTTTGCCAAATATGTCACGTGACATGCCTGTCCCACCAGTTGTGTCACAAATTTGTTACTAAGAGCTTAGCTATCACAAATAGAAACAGTTAACAACAATATGTGATCTTTTTTTTTATCGCTGTAACTAATAAATACTGGTTCCTTTAACAGGTAGATCTTGTTGGTGCAGCCAGATTTCACAGTGCCTTGGGACTTGCCTCATTCATTGCTGGGCTCGGAGTTATTGTTGGACCTCCTATAGCAGGTAACACAATTGTCATTTTTTTTCCTTGAAAAAAATAATTCTTCTAACCGTATAGTATACTGTATTTTCTTTCAAAACACAAACTATAATATGACTATATATGCACTTACATTTAGGAAAAATCCTATCAAAAGTGTAAACAAAGGGAAAGCAAAATTACCTGTGTAACTCTTTGGCAATGTAGTACTTAGTGTTGCATTTCATATTTAAATGTTCTTCTACTCTTTCCCTCATTTCATCTCCCTTAAGTCTATTTCTAGTAAAGAACAGAGATTTCTTTCTGTTCATAAAATATCAGGTATGCCGACAGTGCTGTGTAAAGCATAATAGCAGAATGTATCCCCCACAATTACTACAGATAGGAAATCACTATCTTCCTTATTTCTTCACTGCTCAATCCCTTCTTGTACTAAAGTTATCTTTCCTTATGTTATAATTTCCTTTTAAACTTTGGGTAATAGATATCAGAGCATTATTCCTTTCTACTATTACAAGATTACCTCCTTGTAGGTCTAAATCAATAGCTTGGGTCCTCAAAAAAAATAGTTTATAGTGTATACAACAGCCAAAATATATATCTTAAATATCTGTCAGCCAAACAGTGGCTGAAATTATGAGAAAAGAATTGAAAATCCAGATAAACTACATAGGTAGATTTTAACTTCTATGTTTGTAGGTTAAGGATAATACTTCTCAGTATTTACGATATTTAAGCCATAAAGATTATTCAATTGTAAAAGGCTGTGAAATTCTGTGATTTTTACAAGAAATAGTAAGGCTATGCAAAGCGTCTAAAGGAGGTTGCTGCTTTACAACAGGAAGAGGGGTGCCTCCAAATATTGTAAAGTACCCCTTACGAACTGTTTGCACAGCCCTAAAAATAATAACTTGAATATAAAATATTTGTCAGTTCTTAATTATAAAATAAAACATCATGTTGTACTACAGACAATGCATTTCTTTTTATAAAGGCAGTAATGGAGGTAGCTATTATTCAGACTAGATATCCTTTAGGAAAGATGTTGATAAGTGGAACATGAATAAATAGTAACAATAAACATGCTACAGCACCAATGCTATAACTAGACCAAGTTGTTTATACGTGTGTGTGTGTGTGTGTGTGTGTGTGTGTGTGTGTGAGAGAGAGAGAGAGAGAGAGAGAGAGAGAGAGAGAGAGAGAGAGAGAGAGAGAGAGAGAGAGAATGTATGTGTAAAGTATTTTGTATGAATAGAAAAAAGATCCCATTTGCTAACCAAATGTTTTCTTCAATGCAATGCTACACTAATAGTTTCACTGTCTACTTTCATCCTAGCCCAGGCTAAATAGTTACATTTATCTAGTTTAGTCAAAATGTGGATGAAATATAATCCTTGCTCATATTTCTGAAGCTGAATTAGGATCTTACATTTTGTTTGAGATGACATAGCCTATGTGGTAAGGGAATTAATTCAAAGGATTATTTAAAGCTATTGTAATAGAAGCTCAAAGCTAATAACGCAGTTTAACAATCTAAGGAAAGCAACAATGGTTAAGATTTTCTTTAGCACCCATGACGAAAATAAGGAAAGGAGGCAGGTTTTGATAAAACCAGTGTCAGCTGATGAGGAAAAGGGAATAGGAAATTAACCAGAGAAACTTAATACCTTTGTAATAGAAATGCAGAAAGAGGGTAGGGAAATTGCACAGGTTCTACCTGGAATCTTTGCATCAGTCTTCACTGTGAAAGATCTTAATGCAGGACCCACACCTGAAGCATATTCTAGGGAACAGGGCAGGGACTGCATCTGAAGAGCTGTGCCAAATAGAAAAAATGTAACAGGTTTTAAAATTAACAAATTAATAACTACATGACAACATAATTTAGAGTTCTTGAAGAACTTCTAGTAAATGTTTATGAGTTTTATCATTTAAATCTAGCTGTTTATTAGCACTTCCCTAGCAACTAGCAACAAAAATTGTAAAACGAGAGCAATCATGTTTTCTAGGGTATGGTCCAGTTGTCAAAGTGGATACTGAGAAGTACTAGTGAGACAGGATTCAATTCCAGAAGACAATCATTATACATATTTTTTGTGTTTTATATTGCAATTGTATCCATTGGATGTGGCTTCACAGATTCAAGATGGTGAAACCTAAAGCAGAAGAACTTAAAAAAAATGAACAAGCAATTAAAGTACATGGTTATATACTTTGAGCCCGACAATACCTATATTCTTAAAGTAGGGGAGGCTTAATTATCAGAAAACTGTAAAGATTTTCACTTGAGGTAAACATTTCATTATAATACGTACTGGAAGTAAAACATGAACACTGGATTTATTAGGAAAAGAACTGAAAAGAAAATGGCAAGTACTGTTTTTAAATAATTCTGTCTGTAACATCATTTGGTATAATCTGGCACATTTCAGAAGGTATTTCATAGCCCTGAAACAAACAGAAAAGAGTAAATGAAATAATCAGAAATACGATCATATCCATATACACCATGCTAAGGCACTTGAGATTTCAAAAAAAAAGAATAGATTCAGAATTTCATATGTATATTTGGTAAATGTGCATATTCTTTCATATCTCTAACATTTGAGCTCATTCAGTACAAGTTATCTGCTGTAGATTTAAATTAGAAAAAAAGCAAAAAGCATAGTTTAAGGCAGGGGTCCTCAACCCCCCATCTGTGGACCGATACTGGTCCACGGCATGCCAGAAATCAGTCTGTGAAAACAAGTGAAGCCCCATCTGCAGAATGCAAGCAGCATGCAAACCTACACCCCCTCCGGTCCGTGGAAAAACCTCTCCATGGAACCGGTCCCTGGTGCCCAAAAGGTTAAGGACCTCTGGTTTAAGGCACAAGCTAACAAGCATTTATAACCAAATCCAAGTTTGATTCTATGCTATTATCAAAAGCAGGTAGGTATTAAGCCTTGAGGGATAAAAATAATTTGTTCAGACACTTCTGAGTATGAGATTTGGAGTAATTGTGGAGGGGGGGCTATTTTCTGCATACAGGAAGCATCTACATGGCTGTTATTTTAAAGGAGAGAACTAGACTGGCAAGGACCTTATAATCCCCTAGTAATCCAATTCATACATGTAGCACATAGAAGCACCAAGTAAGTGTGAATCAATAGATGCAGGTTTTCAGGCAGGATCTATTCCAGAGTGCTTTAAATATGAGCCATACGATTTCATTGTGGGAAGAAGCCCTCTGGTGGTAAATTTTAATAGTTTGCCAGAGCAAGAAAATCCTTCACAACGTAATTGCTATGGGATCATGGGGATTTATTCCCGTGTAACCGTGTAAATACCAATGGGATCTCGCCCAATTAGAGATCAGTTTGTTCTATACATGTTAGGGGTGGGATTTATTTATTTATTTATTTATTTATTTATTTATTTATTCGATTTATATCCCGCCCTTCTCCTTACCGGACTCAGGGCGGCTAACAGCCTTATAAAACCAATGCTAGAATAAATACCTAATTTAAAACCGAATTAAAAAGAAATATTTGCTATGGCCTATATAATTAAAATTTCTCTTAAAAACCCCACTAAAATTCCCTAGGCCAATCCCGCTTGTTGGAAGAGCCATGTCTTTAGGGCGCGGCGGAAGGAGGGGAGATCCGGGATCACCCGGATCTCTGGGGGTAGTTCGTTCCAGAGGGTGGG